ACCTTTAGAGCTTGACCTCTTGTGTTAAGGTAAGTATATAACGAAGTCCCCATAATCGCCACAATCGCACCGCAAACGCTAACCACACCACTATTCGACCCGAAAATGTAGAAGTTTCCAAGGAGGAGGACACAGGTCTTGAATTGTCCCAGCACTACGTGCGTAATTGCAGAAGTTGCTCTGGAAAAAAAATGGACAAATTTGGATCACAATCTATATATATATACGAATTCGAAAAACGAGCTAAAACAAATAAATTTTTAGGTTATTTTTAATCTAAAACCAAAAGGAATTTGGTTCCAATTCGGTTATAAATGCTTTAAACCAAAAATAATAGAATTGGACTGATCAGACCACAGTAATGTACATATATGAATCTTTACTTACCCGAGAGCTAAGGCTCCGGACCATTGAAGAAAGAATCCAAGAAGAGCGGAAATAAGGATGGCGGATGTGTTGGCATAGCTCCAATCGAAAGATAGAGCACCTGGCGGATCCAAAAACGGAATCATCGATACGAGAAACAATAGAGTGATTGGAGTTGTCTTCCACATCAACCTGTTTTCGAGAAAACATAAAGAGAGACGGTATTTAGAGATGTCAATAGAGCGAGAATGAATGAGCGGAAAATAAAAGAATCTGATTCACATACGCTAAAGCAGTCCAGTTTTCTCGTTGTTGCATATTGGACCACAAGATTTTGTTTGTTGCGCTCGGTATGATCCATGCTAAAGCCACACAAGCACCAAACAGACTAAACTGTAAATCTGTTACAGTCGCAACCGCAACTCCCACAGATACAACTGTAAGTGCAACCACCTGAAAAACATCAGCCGCAAAGGTAACTAAACCAAAGTTTCTCTCTTACATATTTCTATAAACTCTAGTCCAAATGTGATCAATGCTAAATCCAATTGAGTACAAAACAAATGCAGATTTCACTTACCTTCATGAAAGAAACTCTCTTTCTATACCACAAAAACTCTGCAAACACAATAGAAGGCGTAACAGCGATTTTCGCCATCTGGTAGAATCCAACACTAAAAAACAACATAAACAACAAACAAAACCACGGTGAGAAACGATATAAGACTGAATCAATACATGAAAACAAGGGGGGAGAGAGAATTTGTCACAAACCTGTTATACTTAAGGCTAACATTAGCGAGTCCAGTAGAGAGTGACATTACAATGCCAAGAGTGTAGAGAGAAAAAGACGATGATTTAGAGGAAGGCGGTGCAGCAGGAAGAAGCGAAAAGGATTTGAGAAGAGCCATTAGTAGATAAGCTACAATGTAGTGAATAAATGTAAGAAACACTGGAAACTCAAAGCCTATATTTTTAAGCACCTGAAAAACAAAAACAAAAAGCTGATTACTTTGATGAATTCAGATTAAAATAAGGGGTTAAGCTAGTTAAATTACCCATTTGTTCATGAAGATAATGCTAATTGCAACAAAGAAATTGAAAGTGAGAGCAACAGTTGGACCACAGATACGGTGTTGTTGTTGCTGCTGCTGTCTCTTTGGAGTTTCCGGTGAACGGAATCTGTTGAACAACGATGCTCTTAAGTCCTCAAGTGCTTTCCCTGAATCCAACAACATCATTGATAATTATAACCAAAATCAAATTCAACTCTCAAAGAAACCCTAATCTTTAAAATTTGGGGATATTTTACAAGAGAAGAAGATTGAATAAAAATCTTAAAAAGGAATATGAAATCATCTTTCAAAGGAATAGAGAAGGAAATCGAATGAAAAACCATGAAATTTGAAGTGTTTTAAGATTACCTTTTTCACCTGCATCACTGTCTTTGCGTTTGAGAATCTTCTTCACATCTTTACGAAGCCAAGAACTAAACATCTTAGGTGTCAGTAACATTCTCTTGCTTGTTTCAAAGCTTAGAGGTTTTCAGATTCGGAACTCACGCGCCAAGAGTAGGAGAAGGGAAATCAACACTGATCCACATCGAGAGAAAAAAAAAAAAGGGTCTCTCTGTTCCGATTGATGTGAGTTTGTTATGGTATGGACTCTCTCTCTCAGATTAAGATTGTGGAGAGAAGACGACAAGAGACAAAGGAGACACGTGGCGGTGATAACGGGAAGATTTGGGGAATTGAGAGAGTGTGTTTTTTGTTTTTCCTGATTTGAGCAAATCACGGTTCTTCACCGACCATTAAGAACAGAGACGATGTCTCTACTAAAAGAAGGAGAGTTTGTATGAGTAAACGCTTTTTCCACACTCTCTTCTTCTTCTTCTTTCACGCGTGAATTTTTTAACCTTTTTTTTTCCTTTTTTAATTTCTTTCTCTCCGCGTTCTCTTTATTTTTAAACAAATTGAGTGGATCGAATGAAAAAAAATAAAATAAAAAATCCGTCGACATATTTCCGTATCCGATAATAAATCTATGACGTGGAGATGTGGGACCTATTTCTCGGCTTCTGTTAATGGGGTTCTTTACCGTCCGTTTCGGCATCGCTATCCATACAAAGAATATGTCTATCCGCCGCGTGGATTGTTTCCACCAATCAAATCATTAACGATTTAAAGGGATCGGAAATTGCAAGTATGAGAGAGGCCACAGGACAAAGAGAATTTTGATATTTTCTTGGTTAAAATCTTTTACCAGTAAATGATTCGAAAAGGTAATCCAATCATATT